CGGTATCGGGGGACTTTTAACAAGTACGAGTACTTTAGAAAATGTGGTATCGAGGCCGATACCGGTATCGGTGCATCCCTACTCCACAGTCATCGTTACATCTGAAGAATCATGCGGCTGTGATGTCATTGCAGCCTGGCCACTATACCAAAGCACAGCTTGCCCTATTTCACAAAAATATTCATGCATTAAATAATCTTTAACACATATCCCAAAAACGTGATTGTCCTCAGGCACCGCTTACCACGAGCAATAAAATATTATGCCTTATTTAAAATAATGTGAATCATATGCTGCAAATAAATTGATGTGAATTTATTTTAACGTTCAAGTGCATGTAAGACAATTAATTTTCACCCGTGAACCTTTACTAAGCCTGGTAAACAGGTTCAGTTTGATACTGTAGTTTGCTAAAGCAAAACATAACATTACTTGGATTTATCTAACATTTATTTCAGTTAGTGCCAATATATTATGTATATAAGTAATAACGAATATAAATCCATAAAGCCGTAGTGCACTGAAATATTAATTTACTCAGTAACGCTCGTCTTCCAACATCCTTCTAGACGCCAGTCACTAATCAAATTTCCCTGGACGTTATATTCTATTGTTCCTGAGCAATAGTACACAACATTATGTTTAATTAAAGGCTTAATCTAAGGCTTAATGTGATTACCTCGAGCTCTCTCCAACAGAGCGCTGGACAAACGGCTTGCAAATTCATATTATGTAGATGGTAAAAAAGAAATGACACTTATGTACAACTTTAAAGCATCACTGGCTCCTTTTTCCCTTCTCAGGTCTCTTAGAGGTAAATTGATCTTTTCTGTGAGAGGATTTTTCTTTGTCTTCCAGCTACTATGGTTTGACGGTGTGGTTCCCCGACATGATCAAATACCTGCAGAAGCAGGAGTACTCCTCGCGCACCAAGGTTTTTGTCAAGGAGAAGGTAGAACACGTCACCTTTAACTTCACCCTGGAAAACCAGGTTCACCGTCAAGGAGAGTACTTTAACGACAAGTGAGTTTTCTTTTACTCCTCGTTAGTGTTTGCGTTTTGAATGACAGCGAATCCTTTAGAATTGGGCTTCATGTCAGTCAGATGCCTTTTGGTCCAACGCTTAATGAATGAATTCATTCAGACAGAACTAGCTTGTGGTGGACGGCAACAAATGAGATGCAAATATAAATGAGGCTTCGAAATGTTTTATTCTAAACACTGGTTTGATTGCATGAAAGCCCTGGGGACTTTTTCATGTTCAGCTCGCCTGTCTTTGATGTTTCCTTTGACCTTGCCTTTCCAGCCTGAACTCTGCATGTGATTTCAGATGTTACAAATTGACAGCATTATGCTAATCTTGTGATAAATCACTTGTTTCTCTGTCTCTTTGCATCTTCCTTTGTCTACTCTCCACCTCCGTGCTGCACCTGTTCATTTTCTCCATGCCTTAATCCCACTCTTCCTCCATGTGTTCGCTTGCAGGTTTATGAACCTGAAAATGAAGTCTATGGTTTTTGAGGATTCCCTCTTTGAGGAGTGTTACTTTGAGGACATCACCTCCACCAACACCTTCTTCAAGAACTGCACCTTCATTGCCACCCTTTTCTACAACACTGGTAGGGAACACACATACGAACACTCGCAGGTGTTTTATAATAGAAAAATATGGTCGTGTATAAGTAAAACCTTTAAATTAGAAGCTTTTATGTGTGTTTCAGCAGACCCTGAAAAAATGCAAAATAAATTATATATGGACATTTATGGTAAAAATGTAATGTTGCTGTTGCTCTGTTCTTTCTTTGCTATTTATAGACCTTTCAGAGGTCTCTTTATAAATAACTTCCTTGCAAGTAGTTCTACTGGCTCAGTTTCATTCCTGTGTTTTCTGTTATAAAGTGACAGTTTGTTGCTACTGTGTAGTAGATACATTGTTACCGGTGAGTTCTGTGTGTTCTTTGAGCAGTTTGGCTGTTTGTCAAACTGCTAAATTGTTTCCTTATTCACCTTCACAGAATGACTGGATCTATACTGAACGGAGTATTCCCCTTACACACCGGGGGATTGTTATATTAATGTTATTCTTTCCTCACTGAAAAAGACAAATGATACCACATGTGGAAATCTATATCACACACTGTACACTGAGAAAGGACAGTCTCAGATTCAGCAGCTGTGTCCACACATGCAAACGCCGCCCTGGTCTCGCTTTGTTGGTTATTTGCAGTCTTTACACAAGTCAAGTGATCACTCAGCTGTGCTATCACTGCTGCCCAGGAGTTCCTTGTTATAATGGAAATTGGAAACGTGTTTGCTTATTAAGGCTTAAGGTCTCTTTAGGTTTTCTGTGCAGAACTTGAGACTTTAGTGCTAGTTGCCATGGTGCACCTTATTTTTACACTGCAGAACGATGAGGAAATAACACATGAAAAATGCAGCTGGGCTGTTCCTCATCTTAGTCTTTGAATGTCCAGATCTACAGGTTTAAACTTTGCACACTTTCATTTTCTAAGGTCTGACATATCAGGAAATCTTTTTAGAATAATAATTGTAACATATGGCTGCATGTACCGTATCTGGGCGAGTCAATCTGAATGAAGCTTAGCATAAATATCAGAGATTATTAACATCTTTATATTTTAAAAAAACATCTAATACAATCCCAGTTCTTTTGCACCCAGATGTTTCATATTCATCTTACATTCTCCATTTGCGTTTGTGTCGCATGTCATGTTCAGTGTACGTTGCCTATCATCAAAATTTGGATACGCAACAGAATTTTGTTTGATTCACCTCTAAATACAGACTGAAGAATTGGAAAAGGCACCACAGGTCTGGTAATAAAAAAAAAA